CATGACACAAGCAATCTTCTTGTAGGTGACAGAGTTCCTATGTCTGGCTCTGGTTGCAACTGCACAACCTCTTCTCCCCATAGAGGCAACTGATCCAGCAGCTCCTGTGTACTCTGGGCAGTAATGTGTTTGCTGCTGAAAGCTGACAGTCAGATGGGAAGATGTGATGTGAGCTGCCTAGTCCAAGCAAATAGGAAGTGAAATTTCAAAAATTCCTAGGCTTTAAATGGGGAGTGGTGCATGCCTGTGTACCTGACTGCAGGGCAGCAGAGTAGAAACTGCTTACCAGAGTGGCTTTGTGGGACACCGTCTGGAGGCCACATAGGGTGACATAAGCAAGCACAGTGTCTATCCTGACATTGTGTCACTCTAACTTTGTCTCAGAAACCTTTATGTTCTTCATCAAGGTGGTTCTATTATGTCAGGGAGGTAGAAAAGTGAAATCAGTGGGAGCATTGTGTGCAGATCTCCACTGTTTTGTCAATGAATCCTGACTTTTGTTGACAAAAGTGCATAATGTAGACAAAGCCTTAAAATGTCATATAGTAGAATCTTATAACTTTATATCAATATTTCCATGCATACTTTACTAGGCTAGAAATCAAGTAATGATCAGCAAATTATCATAGAATCATAGAGCTGGAAGAGACCTCAGGAGGTCATCAAGTCCAGACCCCTGCCCAAGGCTTTGTCAAGCTGAGGCTTAAACATTTCTAGGGATGGAAATTCCACCACCTCTCTAGGTAATCCATTCTAGTGCTTCACCATCCTCCTTAGGAAATAGTTTTTCCTACTATCCAACCTAGACCTCTCTGTTCTGCCATCCATCACTACTGTGAACAGCCTTTCTCCAGCATTTTTGGCACCTCCCTTCAGGAATTCAAAGGCTGCTATCAAATCCCCACCCCCCTCTCTCCTCTTCTCTAGACTAAACAAACCCAAATTCCACAGCCTCTCCTCATGGGTCATATGCTCCAGCCACCTAATCATTTTGGTCACCCTCCTCTGGACCCCCTCCAGTGAATCCACATCCTTCCTGTAGTTGGGGGCCTGTAGTTGGGGGCCCAGAACTGGACACAATACTGCACATGTGGCCTCACCAGAGCCGAATAAAGGGGAATAATCACTTCTCTGGATCAGCTGGCAATGCTCCTCTTAATGCAACCTAATATGCCATTAGCCTTCATGGCTACAAGGGCACACTTTTGACTCATATCCAGCTTCTCTTCCACTGTAATCCCCAGGTCCTTTTCTGCTGAACTGCTACTTAGCCATTCAGTCTCCAGCCTGTAACAATGTTTGGGATTCTTCCGACCCAAGTGCAGGACTCTACACTTGTCCTTGTTGAACCTCATCAGATTTCTTTTGGCCCAATCCTCTAATCTGTCTAGGTCACTCTGGACCCTATCCCTGCCCTCCAGCATATCTTCCTCTCCCCCTAGCTTAGTGTCATCTGCGAACTTGCTAAGGGTGCAATCCATCCCTTCATCCTGGTCATTAATAAAGATATTGAACAAAACAGGTCCTAGAACAGATCCTTGGGGCACTCTGCTAGAAACCAACCAACAATCTGACATCGAGCCGTTGATCACTTCCCGTTGGGCCCAACAGTCTAGCCAGCTTTCTATCCATCTTACAGTCCATTTATCCAATCCTTATTCCCTTAACTTGCTGGCAAGAATATTGTGGGAGACCATATCAAAAGCTTTGCTAAAGTCAAGTTTTATCACATCCACCGACTTCCCCATATCGACAGAGCCATCATAGAATCTAATCAGATTGGTCAGGCATGACTTGCCCTTTGCGAATCCATGTTAACTATTCCTGATCACTTTCTCCTCTTCCAAGTGGTTCAAAATGGATTCCTTGAGGATCCCCTCCATGATTTTTTCATGGACTGAGGTAAGGCTGATGGGTCTGTAGTTCCCTGGATTGTCCTTCTTCCCTTTTTAAAAGATGGGTACTACATTTGCTTTTTTCCAATCATCTGGGATATCTCCCGATCTCCATGAGTTTTCAAAGATAATGGACAAAGGCTCTGCAATGACATTTGCCAACTCCCTCAGTACCCTCAGATGCATTAAATCCGGGCCAATGGATTTGTGTATGTTTAGCTTTTCTAAATAGTTCCTAACTTGTTCTTTCCCCACCAAGGGCTGTCCACCTCCTTCCCATACTGCATTACCTAGTGCATTTGTCTGGGAGTTGATCTTGTCTGTGAAGACAGAGGCAAAGAAAGCATTGAGTACTTCAGCTTTTCCCACATCATCTGTCACACTGTTACCTCCCTCATCCAGTAAGGGCCCCACACCCTCTCTGATCCCCCTCTTATTGCTGACATGCCTGTAGAAACCTTTCTTGTTATCCTTCACATCCCTTTCTAGCTGCAATTCCAGTTGCGTTCCTGATACCTCCCCTGCATTCTCGAGCAATATATTTATACTCCTCCCTAGTCATCTGTCCAAGTTTTCACTTCGTGTAAGCTTCCTTTTTGTGTTTAAGCTCACCAAGGATTTCCCCGGTAAGCCAATCTGGTCACCTACCATATTTGCTTTTCTTGCTGCGCATCGGGATGGTTTTTTCCTGTGCCTTTAATAAGGTTTCTTTAAAATACTAGCAGCTCTCCTGGACTCCTTTCCCCTTCATGTAAGCATTCCAGGGAATCCTGCCCATCAGTTCTCTAAGGGAGTCAAGTCTGCTCTTCTGAAGTCCAGGATGTGTATTTTGCTACTCTCCTTCCTTCCCTCGGTCAGCATTCTGAAATTAGGAGTTTTCAGATGATACCTCACAAGGCATACTTTGTAGAAAGTGTATCATAATCCTGTAAAAGGGGTGAACAGTAGGGTACAGACTGTCACACCTCACCTTGACAAAGCTGTAGGAGTGATAGCCACTGGCTGGCCTGGAGGCAACTGGTCAGGGACCTCTTTCCTGAACAGGGTATCTTATGCCATCTTGTATTTTCTCTTTATGTACACAATTTTTATATTAAATTCCAGAAGTATGATACTCCAGTGTACAAGCTTGGAATTTCAGCCTTTATGTTTGTTTAGCCAAATCAATGATGAATGATTTGTTAAGACCCTGCATTTTCTATTGAAAAGGTAAGGCCTTAGTTGTTTAACTAAGCTTAGCATTCCTTGTCCGTGACAGACTAATTATGTTCAGGTGGTGTAAATGTTTTGCTTAAGAAAGCAATTGTGTGTTTTATGTTATTTTCCTCTATCATCAGCAGCACAACACCCAGGCTAACATCTGATAAATCTCTACAGTTTAAGCATTTTGTCAAAATCAAAATAGCCTTTTCAGACAAAGTTTTCATTACCTTATCAAATCTTTCCTGGCATGCTTTCATCCAAATGACTTTGTTTAGCTTGTTCTTTTTACATAAATCTAGTGATGGCAGAGACAATGTCAATGGACTCCCACACAAACCTTCTATAATAGTTTACCAGACCTACAAATGATTGGACTTGTTTTTAGTTTGGGGTATATGCCAATTTATAATGGCTTCAGCTTTCAAAGGCTGAGGGATATTTGACTTCCCCTTTCCCAGTGTCCCAAATAAGAAACTCTGGATGCTTCAGTCTTATGCTTACAGGCTTTTATGGTTAGGCCTGTGTGACAGGGTGAAACTCACTGACGCTGTGCCTCCTACTGGTCTCCTCAGGAATTAGCTCTTCAACCCTGGAGCACCCCCGGTTGGCCAGTGTTTTGTCCTCAGTTACCCATCTTCTGAGTTACTGCAGGCCACGTGTCCCCCATGGCCCACGGTGCCCTTCCCTTGCGGTACTGCTTTATGGCAATGCCCCTGTACTTTGGGGCCCTCCCCTCTCAGGAAACCCCAGGCCTTATACCCACCTTGGCTCAGTGACCAATCGTCACTAGCCTCCGCCCTGGGGGTGAACTGCAGTCTGAAATAGCCACTCATTGGTATGGGGCTGGACCTGATGCCTTCTGCTGTCCTGGGTACCTCCCTGCAGCCCTAACACCTTCAGGTGTTGAGAGCAAGTACTCAGCCTGGGAGTCTGCCTGGTCAGAGCCGCCCCCATCTCTGCCTGCCTTTCCCTAGTACTGCCTGTGTAGCTTCCCTGGTAGCCAGGTCCCTCCCGATTCACAGTGGCTTGCTTTGTCGACAGAACTGGACGTAGTCTAGATGCTCTTTGTCGACAGAAGCTTTGTCAACAGTATCTGTCGACAAAACTTCTGTCGACAAAAGCCTGTAGTCTAGACGTACCCTTAATTACAAAGGAGAGCAAAACCAATTTTTAAATGCACAGACCAGATCCCATTTCCCAAACCATAAAACAATAAAACCTAACGGATTTATCTAAACTTTATCCTACTTACAGACTGTGAAGAGTATTTTCTTAGAGGGAGACATCTTGTCCCCTTCAATAGCTGGAGAGAAACTACCCAGGGACAAAGGAGGGAAAAACCCAAAAATTCCTTTGTCCCAGTTTGAAATTCCTACTTACATCTCTATTGGCTGCCTGCCACCTGGTTTAGGTAAGAGACATATTTAACCTCTTAGTCCCCAGGAGGCTGGCCATCTCTCATGATCATGACAAGGTTATTCACACAAGCTCTTGCAATGTTCTGTAAACCATTTAAAACTTGATTGACCAGCTTCTGGAAGGTGGCTCCAGCATTAATTAAAATTGTGAATTCGTACATGAATTCATTATGAATTCTATATTGGTGATGAAAGCAGATTTTTTTTCTGTGCATGCTCATCCAAGGGAAACTCCTAATAACTTTGAGTTAAATCAAAAGAACTGAGATATTTAGCTCTGCTTAAAATGTCCTGTATCTCATCAGTTTTAGGCATAAGATATACATCTGGTACTGTAACAGCATTACATTTCCTATAATCAACACAGAACCATACAGTGTTGTTTTTCTTAGGGACCAGGACCACAGATGATGCCCAAGAGGATACCCCGGGTAATGGCACATGCACACTTCAACTTTTATCTTCCTGTTTTCTTAACCCTCAGAAAGGAGCTGATTGCCAGGCTGGAACAGGCGGAAAAGGAGAGTATGGATGCTGCTCAGCTGGCTAAGGAGTATGCAGAACTGACAGAGGAGAATCGGACATTGAAGCTGGCTCAGGCGCAGTGTGCAGAGCAACTGGAAAAGCTTAGAATACAGTACCAAAAGAGACAGGGTTCTTCATAACTCTCAGCTAACCAATAAGAGGCCGTCAAATCCAGTGTTTGTTCTGTGCTGGCCAAGAAGTTTTAAAAAAAGGTTCTGTTGTAACACTTCACTAGAAATACAGAATATGTAAAAGTCTATATTTGATTTAATGCTTGCCAGCCGGTAGCTTAATATAATGGATACTTTGTCCATTATATAATGGATATTTTATTTCAAGTAACATAATTGAAGCTAATCTAGCCCCATTATATGTTCTAGTTCTAGTAGATCAGGTTTCTTTTCTAAAGATATTTCTTCCAATTTAAGAAGATACGGACACGCTAGAAACTGGTATAAATAGTCTCTATGTTGGGAGTTGGACCATACTAAGACATACAGCAGGGGCAGTGTTAATATATGGAACACTGGAACACAATCATGTGCTTCTAATTTTAGTTTAGTTTTCTTTTATGTTTTTATTTTTCATGCCTAATGATTGGAAATTGTCCTAAGTATAATCTGGCTCTGGCTCAAAACTATATTCCAGTTATCTGGCATGCTGATAATGTCAACTTTTGATAGTTTCATAAACTCAGAGATTACACATTTTTTAAAAAGAACTTTTGTTAAAATAAACACATTATTTTAATCAAAGAATGATATTACCAGTATTCATTTTCAAGTTATTGAATTGTGAAGAAACATATGCAAAAGTTTTCTTTCCACCACCATAAACTTTGCTAGAAATTCTTTTTTTTATTAATTCATTTGTACTTTTTGGCATGCAGGAAATGGAAAAGTAATATATTGACCCTACAGAGGTGACTAAATAAGACTTTATGATTGTTAATGGAGAATATTTCAGTAAAAGTACCATAATTATATTTTGTTTTTATTCTATAGGCTGTTTTGGAACATAAATAACTGAGGGTAGGTACTAAGCAGTTCAGTGATACATGAATAACTGGGAGTTAAAATGTTTGTTTTCCTCACTGTACTTATCACTGTATTTTCCTAAATCAATTGAAAATCCTTTGTTATACTTCCATTTCTATTCATACAGTATTTTTTTCATTAAAAGTGGTTATACAAAAAAAACCCTATTTTGTACCCTTCAGTTCCTTAACCTTTCCTGTATTTTAAACTCTGCTCAACTGGTTATATGTTACGGTTTTGTGAAATTAGAACTAAATGTACACATTTGATGATAAGGTTGCAATTTAAAAATTGAAAATGTTATGAATTGATAATGGGGTGGCAAATAGATAGTTTCAGAGATCCAATCCCCCTACAACATGGGTCAGCATATCTTTTACTGGGTCTATACCTGGGCAATTTCCTCTCTCCCTGGAACAGCAGAAAAACAAGGAGGAGAACCATCTTTTTTCCTAGGATGGTTAAGGGGCATGTGATAATGTGCTGCCCTTTATTTAGGGCACATAAGATTGTCCTGTTATATAGTACATTTAAATTCAGTGAAAAAAGGTAAGGCAGAAAAATCTGAGGCCTTGAAGCCTTCATTTCACACACATTGTGGTTTGGGGTAGTCCAGGAATGTGACCCTCCTAAACTATATTCTGATCAGTATGTAAATTACATGGATCTTGGGAAAGGCTCAGATGCCAAGATATTGTAAATTCTCTGTTTCTTACTGCCCATGATACTGTGGTACGATGGTCCTGCCCCTCTGGGATAAATCTAGAATTATTTGGATAAAATTCTTATTCAAAGCTGAAGTCAACGGAAAGCTCCTTTGACTTCAATTAATTTGGAATGTTTTATTCCACTGATCTGTTCTTTTTCCATTTAGCAAATGCTGCTTGTTCCACCCTTATATTCTTAATTATAGTGCACAATCAAAAATAGCTCTCTCTCTCTCTCTCTCTCTCTCTCTCTCTCTCTCTCTCTCTCTCTCATATATATATATATATATATATAATGGGTACTAGCATGCACACACATGTTCTTGAGAACAGCAGCTCAAAGAAATGTTATCACTAGCAAAATGAGCAAAACCAAAATAGAAATAGTTGGAAGAGGAAAAAATAAATCAAGAAAATACCAAATAAAAAAAGGGGGAAGAAAACTAAATAATCAGACAAGTGAACAAAATTAGATCCACTGAACTTTGCAAATCCATTAAAAGGAAAATGAAACTGCAAAAATTTGTGGATGACAAAGAGGCTACTCACAATTTATAAAGAATGACTCAAAGTTATCTTCTGAAAAGAAACTGTTTTTTTTAATCAATGGATATTTTAAAAAATATTAAAAGCATGATATAATAAACTTTTATATATTCAGAATAACTATGTAGTCTTGACACCCTGTGTTTTTCTTAAAGCAACACAACACTGCTAAATTATTTAATACCAAACACATTTTTATTAAAAAAAATTTTCATGATTTGTGCTCTTTTTTCTCGCTATTTAGAGGTTCTGCTAAAACCAAACTATTCTGCTAAAAATGCATTCTAAATGTAATATATATATAAAAGAAGATCTTAGGCCCTTATTTTAAAGATGATTTTGTGTTGTATTTCATCTCAGAAATTTTAAAGGCAAAGTTCCGCCTCTGAGCATACATACCCAGATGCCAGTGCGACCGTAAACTTTATGAACTTATTGGCTACATCTAACAATGACAATTTTAAATTGGAAAGAGGGTAGGCTGATCTAATTTTGGCTCCAGTGAAACAGGGTTTGTTTGTTTTTTAGTGCAACCCAATGCAGAATCAAGGCTCAAGGGAGAATATGGGCAATTAGGATTAGATAACAGAATGAGAATCTAAATTTATAAAACTGTGTATGTGCGTATGTATTCTGTGTCTCTAGATTATTCAATCTAAAGATATCGAACATACCAGTACAGTGATATAAATGCAATTATTTCCTGTCAGGTCCCTACAGAGAATGGTGGGAAAAGAAAAAATGACACTTCAAAATAATCTACTTTTTCCATTTCCAATTACTATTTACTCACTTCTGTGCAAACATACCTAATGCTGAAAAAGCTTAAATATTCCAGTTAGCAAGGATATGACTCATACAGTCTTGAAACTGCCAAATTCTTGGATGATTTTATATTAAAAAAGCTAGGGAAAAAGAAGCTGCAATTTTATATTGACATAAAACTGGAGAGCAGAGATATTTAATAGCAAAATTATGCCCAATCAATTATACTACTGATCTAAGCCCTGATTCAGGAAAGCATCCACGTTTACAATGCCGACAAAAGGCTGAGATCATCTACTAATTTTGCTTGTGACCTAACCCTGCATTTGAACTAAGCTTTTAGAGTTTTAAAGATACCACAATAAGCTCTTGCACCATCTAGCCTTAGTTATGGATACTTAATAAATAGCGCTAGCATTCTGTAACTTGTGTTTTCTGATAGCAGCTACACTGTGTTTAAAAATTAACTTAATTGATAAAGCATTTTCTAGCATGTTGCTGAGACATTGAGACTATGAGGGAATCTGTAGTGTCCTTTTTTGATGTCCACTTCGTTTTTCCTACGAAAAGTGTGGTTTGCATGGTAAAAATGTAATGAAATGTAAGTCTTACAGTAGCAAAAATACAAATTAAAGAAACTGTCAGAGCTTTAATGGAATGATTTCCAGTCCCCTGGTAAAGTAAAAGCAACTTTCAAGTACTTTATTTCTACGTATCTAAAAAAATAGTCTACTGTGACCAGATGTTGTTTTCTGAATTCATATATCTCTGAATCTAGTTTCTGCCAAGGACTATCTGGTAGAGGTGTTGTTATTAAATGCTCTTTGTCTTGTATTGGTCTGTCAGATCTGTGGTGTTCACATGCAGATACTTCATTCTTTATGTCCCTTCCTGATGCCTGGCCACGACAGTAGTTGGTCTATTCTCGGCATGTAGTTAATCCTTGATGTCCTACATGGATGAGATTTAGGATTTTCTCCTCTCATTTCATTTGGAATTACAATGCCATTACCTTTAATCATGAGTCTGTATGACTTGTGTAGTTGTCTATTCACTGAAAAGTAGTCTCTTGTCCCTGTATTAGTGTCTTTTAGGTACTTGGGCTAGCCCCCCATAATGTAAATAGAACTTCTTGAAAATGTGAATCTGTCAGAGTTGCTCCATGTACTCCTTCATGTTGTTTTTGAGCTCATGAGTAATTGAGTGTGATGCTGGGCCCCATGACACAGTGTCTGCTACTACCAAATTTTCCCCATTTTAGCAAATGGGCTAAAATCACATTAACCTTAGCAATAGATATTGGTATTCATGGTGCTTGTTCCAATTCTTTTCCACAGATGAGAGTTACAAGCAGTTTATGTCCTGTTAGCAGAATAAATTAATCCAGTCCACATAGATATCTGTAAAAGTCCCTACATGCCCATGTGCTTGGTAGGCAGTCCTTTTCAATCTATGCTTATTGTTTTTCTGATTCTGTGAGTGTGCAAGAGCAAAATGTGTCTGGGTTCTATTCAGAGCCATGTTGCTGCAACAATACACTACCTAGGTTATAGCTACATGCCTCTACACTGACCACTGTAGGTTTGCTCATCTCATAATACTTGAGAACTGAAGCTGTTGATATAATTTTGTAAAATCTTTTTGAAGGCATTTTCTTGATTTGGAGCTAAAAGTTGTACTTTAACAGTTTATTCAATGGTTTTATCATTCTACAAAAGTCTTGTAAGTGTCCACTAAGGGAATTTACCACCAGTATATGTTTCAGTTCTAGCACATTACTATGTGTATTTAATATTCAAATGGTTTTTCCTTTCTCAGAACTAGGGTCGATGCCCTCTTTGTTTGTCCCAAAAACTCAGTTTGGGGTAGGTGGAAAATACATTTTTCCTTCTTCAGCTTCAGTCCATATTAACTGATTAGTGTTGAGACTCTGTTGAGGGTTTTGTTTTATTCTTTCATTGAAGATCCATATATCAAAATATCATCTATGATAAAGCCACTTGTGTTCGTTAATCGTTCTGCCATCTTTCTTTGGAAAATTTCAGGTGCACTGGTAATCCTAAAAAGTAATCTACAAATGCAATATCCCCCAAAGTGTGTGATAAGCGAATTCACTTTCTTAAGATAAAGAAATTGCCAGAATCCATGGAAGGCATCCAGTCTCAAGAATAGGGGGATATATTTTGCTCTCACAACTGCTTCATTAAGTCCTTTAAAATCTACATGGATTCATATGTTTCCATTTTTCTTTAGAACTGGTACCAATGGGGTATATCATGCCCATCATGCTATTGTTTCAGAGATTTTTCTGATTGCACCAGTCATCTACAGCTTCCATTTTATGAAGTAATGGGATAGAAATCCTATGAGTTATATGTACACTGTCTGATTCAGCATTGTCTTTTAAAGTTATTTGTACTGAATCTCCTTTCAGAATATCACCATCTATTCCTGAGAGCTTCCACCTTTCTCACTGGGCCCACCCTGGCTGCCATGCTGCAGCTGAGAAGACTGTTGGTCTGTTCTCTTTTCATTAAATACAGTCTGAATGCATAGCTTTTGTCTTTGTTATTTGTTTCTGTGGTGAACTAACTCATGCAGTTAAGGTACTCCCAGGGCTTGGTGACAGCTGACTTCAGCTGTGGGAGGGTGTGATGGGCCGGGCCCATCCCCTCTTGTGGAACCAATGCGCCAGAGGCTCCTGGCCCGGAGACTGACCGACGCAGCCCTCCCCCGCTCCCACGGCGCTGTTGTGCATACACCTGGAGCCGCGTGCCACATTTAAAAGCGGCGCCGGCTCAGCTGATGGGGGCAGAAGAGGCAGGAGACACCGGAGCCGGCCAGGAGACTGCCAGGAAGGTGGAAGAGGTGGGAGACGCCAGCCAGGAGGCTGCCAGGGAGGCAGAAGCAGCGGAGGCTGGAACTCGGGAACAGGGGCGATCTCGAGTTCCCCTACCTAATCTGATCTGACGGCCCCTAAGGTTGGGAAGACTGACCCTTGAGAGAGACTTTTTCCTTTCTACTGAACTCTGGGGAGTGACGGGAGTAGGGATGCCCAAAGCGGGTGCAGACTATATCCCGTCGGTCAATAACCAGGGTCAAGGGACAGTCGGCCTGTAGGGGAGTAGGCCACCGTGCTTTCGGCTTGGCCTTTGTGCACGGATGAACGCCTCCCCTGGGACTTGCGGGCCCAGAGCAAACTCAGGTTCGGGGCCTCCGTGCCGCCAATGAGGGCGTCCCGATCCTACATACCTCATGGGTGGGGGTGCGGGTGTGACAGAGGAGAAGAAGGTAATTGTAAGTCCCTTCTGAGATGACTACTATATCAGCTCTTGGGTCAATTTCAAAGTCAATAGTCTTTCTATGAGTATTCATTTTCACTTTCTAGGCAGACGCTATGTCATTGCAAATTACAGATCCCGGAAACAATGGGTCTTGATTGTCTGCAAGATGAATCAACTATCTGCCTGCTTTGTTACAGCAAACAGCTGCAAAGAGTCTATATTTCATGCATTTATTGCGCCCTGTGCTTTCGACTGGCCTTGCATCATCTCTTAGGGTGTAACTTTTTTCCACGCCTTGTAGATGAAATTTGTTCCTCAGCCTGACAAATCTCTCCCTTTATCCCAAGGATTTTTTTATAATTACTTTCAACAATCATCTGTTTATAGTTTCTAAGCTAGTTTCACGTTTTTCAGGTCTAGTTTCTGCAGGTTTTGCTGTTTCATCATTTCAGAATGTTTTGCTATTTGAATATCTGTGGCTAGGATTAAATTTGCTCTTCAGTTGTTGCTGCTTGCAATGGGGTATGTCAGCCCTATCGTGGAGCGACAGGGGTTAACTCTTCTCTCTGGGCCAATGAAGTCTCACCCTTTCAGCTCTGCTAGGCACGTGTCAACTGGAGACAAGATATAAAAGGCAATAAAACATCTCAGTCTGTGCTGACCACCGGTGAGGAAGAAAGTGCATTGCTGATACCTGAGGAAGGACTGCCTGCACTCCAGAATATGGAGGCCAACCAGATGGAGAGGGACCCCAACTGCCAGGCTCAGAATGCTGCAGAGAGAGGAGCGGCCGTGAAGCAGTGTTCCCTCTAAACTGAGATAGGGAGGGGATGTGTCCCTACCCGCTGGGAGAGAGTCGCTGCTCTTGCCTCAGCATGCAGCTGCTGCTGTTGCTGAGGGAGAAGTGCCTCTCCCCCTTGCCAGGCAGCTCCATGCACGAGTCTTGAGCCCCTGGCTGGGAAGGGGGAAGACCTGAAAACAGCAAATTGCAGAGAACCAAGTAGGAAGCAATCCAAGGAAACTCTGTGGGGAAGTAATTGTGGACGTGTAGACAGGCCTGGTGTGTGCTGGTAGGATTAGGTTTGAACCTTGTGGAGAAGGCAGGCCCAGG